TTTGGGTTAAGGGGGAAAGGAATTCTAATTGCGTTTCTAAGATCTCCCTGCAGAAGAAACTGTCTACCTCAAAAATCAAGGACTTCCCTGAAAACGGCAGAGGACAGCACATTATCCTCAAGCTAGTGAACAGGATGGATTTTTCTTCCTAGACGTCCCTTCTGCTCTCTAGTTTGAATTATCAATAAAACGACTTGGCTTATCTCTGAAAATAAGCTTGTTGACAATCCAAATATGGACTTAAACGCACTACCTCCACATTTAAGACTTAAGAAGCCACCGTAAACGTCAGGAGGTGTCAGTGTGTTTGCTGCGATACTTGGTTATTATTAGTGTTTAACTGCATTTCCCCACCAGCACCAAGCCACCAGTGCCGCCATCAATTTTAATGTGATCATGTGCTCGTCTCTTTTCATATCCAGTGAATTCTGCAAGATCATAATATTCTATATGAACCCTAGCTGAACCTTAGTGTGATATGAAGAAAGAACAAGATTTCTAGCAACGATAGTTGTTCATCATTTTATAGTTTTTTGAAAAAACTGGACACTGAGCAGCATAGTTCCCTGAATAATATTACCCTAAACTAAATCCACTCATTCAATGAATCTTTATTGAGCCCTACAGGATACAGGGCATGGCCCAAAGTGCTAATGAGTACATTTATGGGATAGTAAAGAATACTGACTCTTAAGGAAACCTTTTTATTCCCCCTGGAAAATCTGTCAGAGCTCATACATCATTTATAAAACCTTAAAATGTCTCTGCAACGTTGGCATCACCACATGCCTTTTTATTTTACAGAATACAAACAAAAGCATGGTCGGTTCCTTTATCTGGTCTACACTGTACATATAAGAAATGAGCTTATTGTCTTTCATCATGTATGTGCTTGATGGAATATTTATTCTACAAGCTTCTATAAATAAAGAGAATTTGTATAATTATTCTTGATCTATCTGCAGGTTTTTGTTCCCTGTTTTAACTGCAAATAGTAACTGGCACTCTATACCGCATTTATCGGAGGAATTAAAAATATTTGGTAATTTTTAACTACCTTAATTTCTCTTTAGGAGCAAAGTATAAGACTGACACTTTCATTTTAATATTTGGAATTCTACACCAGAGGCTTGTAATAAATTAATAAGTCATTAACAGGGTTCCCCGTGAACTAAATTTCCACCATTATACATCAAACTGCCTATTCGACAATGCAGTTTGTTCTTTTTCTTTTCAATTTCTAAAGGGACAAGACCTTTTTGTTACCTAGACATGAGCTTGAATACTTCTGCAAAACACAATTCTGAATCAAGCTATTTTCTGGGCTTGAAATGATTGTAGAGTTAAAGGTTAGGAAGCTGATTCTTACATGTGATTTGCTTGCCCTGTTGTACCTCGTGTCATGGTTTGCTCATCAGTGGCACACAAATATGCATCTTCCCATTCCTAGAGACAATGGGCTTGGAAAAATACACACCCACAGAAAGACACGGGAGACGGCAGGACTATTTGCACTAATAGCTCGGCAGGCAAGGAGACAGCCCTAATACAGGTCTGTCCTGATCAGAGGGTTCTTTGCAGACACACTGGCCTTGCTGATGTTTCTTTTAAGAAAAGAGGGTAGGGTGCGTGTCTCAGTATTCCTTGTCTTAGAAGAAAAGAAGCGTTTTCAGGGAATGTTGGTAAGATCAACACCATCCACCCCCTTTCTTTCCAGGCAACTGGCTGGGAAACTTGGCCTTGGAGTGCCATCTAGAGGAAAATTCGGCGCACATGCGCCCTGCTCTCTCGCCTTTGTAACTCGGCTGAATGAATCCAGGGGTTAATTAGAACTTTTCTTCCATATTAATAGAGAATTTTAGTTCTAATTCAACACGTGGAAGTGGAATATACGATAACTAGAATGGAAATAAAATCACTGATGAGAGCAAAACAGTGAAAGACCTAACAGTCTTCAGGAGTACCTGAAGCCTGAAGCCTTATGGGCCACTCATGGAAATAAGTAGGTTATCATTTTGCCTCCTTTGCCTACTAAGGTCGTATTCCAGAAGTTAGAATTGATGAGCGAATTACGCTCACTTTTTTTGCCCCTAGTCAAGTAATATCTGTTATCTTAATATTTACTTTCTTAGTGAAAACATTCTGATTAACCAGTCTGACTATGGTCAAGTGGGAGAGGAGAATGCTTATGTTACTGACAAAGTTGACATTTTCAACTTACTGTAACCCTTAGTTTGGAAACATTTAAAGAACAGAAAATAATATCTTTTCCAAATGTGGCTATTCTATGCAGGGCAAAGGAGAAAAAAATAACATTCACCAAGGTATTCTTTCCAAAGTCATGCTTTTATTTTTCAACCTCTAGCCCCTTCTCCCCCTGGCCAAGAGAATTTTAAGAGTAAATTCTTCTCTTTTTGAGCTAGCATTAATACAAAAACAAAACCCAGACTTTCTCAAACAGTGCTACTCTTCAAGGTTGCTGAGCAGACTTGCAAAAACAACTCTACCTTTGAAATATTTAGGCAGAATGAGTATCTCCATAGTGGTAACATTCTGAGAGCTCTGCTTTCTTCAGTTTCTTGAAAAGGATCATGATTGTCCATATTGTGGAAAAATTTACTAAAGAAAACTGGGTATGAATTCCCTTTTCTCCTAAATGTCCACTTGACCATGCAGTTCTTACCAGTTTCCTCTATCCCAACTCTTTTAGTTCAGTTCAGTTCAGTCGCTCAGTCATGTCTGACTCTTTGTGACTCCGTGGACTGCAGCATGCCAGGCTTCCCTGTCCATCACTAACTCCCAGGGTTTACTCAAACTCATGTCCATAGAGTCGGTGATGCCATCCAACCTTCTCATCCTCTGTCGTCCCCTTCTCCTCCTGTCTTCAATCTTTCTCAGCATCAGGGTCTTTTCCAATGAGTCAGTTCTTCACATGAGGTGGCCAAAGTATTGGAGTTTCAGCTTCAGCGTCAGTCCTTCCAATGAACACCCAGGACTGATCTCCTTTAGGATGGACTATTTTAAGGCTTATTGTATAATCTGTTTCTGTTTATGACATGTTTAATCCCTCGCTGAACAAGTTTCCTACTTGGAGAAGGGAATGGCTACCCACTCCATGGAAGAGCCTGTTAGACTACAATCCATGGGGATATAAAGAGTTGGCAAGACAAGCGACTAATACTTCACACAATTCAGTCCTTCATTGAACAAGGTTCCTGCTTACTTATCCTGGTGATTCACCATAAATTCATAGGTTTTCCAAAATAATAGGTCAATAATTTCTTTATTGGATATCCTCTGTGAGCCATGTACATGAATTCTGGACACAAAAAATTATTACTTGTCTATGAGATCTGATTTGGAAAAGTAAAATGAGAGGCTTTTTTTTTTTTTCATGAAACATTGGTTCTTAAACATTTAAGGGCCGTAGCTCAAAGCTTCTTCCTTCCTCATTTGACTGGCTGCCTGCTTTCATGGTGTATGTTACAGTGAGATGTCCAGTTTTTCCAGGTTATTTTTCTTGCTCCTTAAGCAGTTGTGGACACCCTTCTCCCCCCAGCAAAAAAACAAGTCCTTGAGTGTAAAAGTGAAGACATTTTGGTCCCATCTTTTTATGCTATATGTGTATTTCAGTTCAAATCAATCCAACACAAATTTGTTGAAAGCTTACCAAGTACAGGATTGAGTAGAGGGTGCTGGTGACATGCTCAACAGATAGATGTTGAGCAAATAAATGAAGGTTATTGCAAGAACAAGAAATGATCTCTTTAGCCTCAAGCTGCTTACTTTGTAGGAGAATGAGAGATCTTGAGCTTCAGATACACAGCAGAAAGAAAGATGTGTGTGCAAGACACAGTGCCGGGAAATAAGTAATTATTGACGATTACTGATGATCATTGAAATTATTGATGATTATTGAAAAGGAAAGACTTCATGGGAAAGTCAGCATTAGATCAATGTATTTTAAAGAATGAGCAAAGTTTTAGTAGGCAGAGAAGAGCACAGAGCACTTCATGAGGAAGGAGCAGAAATCTTCCTTCACATGGACCAAAGGAAAATGTTTGTCATTGGGCATTCCCTCTTTCGGATTTAAATTTTAATCTGGGTGCAAAGACATAAGGTATTTAGATTTACGTTATGAGACTCTTAAACTCATCTTCTCTTTTTCTGTGTGGCAGGTATGCTTACATGCACACATATGGACACACATGTATGTACATATCACCTTGAGGCTAAAGAAACCAATATATTTAAGCCAGAAGCCATTTTAATTGATAATAGCTTGACAGTGTGAGTAGAAATAAGACCAAATGAGCCTTATTTCTTGCCAGAAAATGGAGATGACGAGAGGATTCTCTTTTAGTCTTTGCCACAAACATTTGCTTTTAGATTAAATTTCAAGGCTTACCTCTGGCCAGCTGCCCCAGCTGTTTCTATAAAACAGACTGGCCACGTTTACTAGGTTACAGTGCCTGGAGCAGAGCTTTGAAGCCTGGTGTGCCCTAAACCCTGAGAACATACACTCCTACTCCTTCCTTCCCAGGGCCTCCCTGGACCTTCTCCAGATAAGCATCTCTCAGGATTCCCATGTCCCTGTGGGTAATGTTCACACATCCCTTCTTTGGCTTTCCACCAGCCTATGAGGTCTTATCCAGCAGATCTCTTTGTTTAGTCATTCATCCCCACCTTCTCTGCAAAAAAGGTGGCTTTGAAAACCCAAGCATTTCTTTTGTTTATAAAAACCCAGTTTCCCAAGATAAAACATTAAAAAGAGACTCAAGCAATCATTCAAAGACTATACCTGCTCCAAGGTGTCAGTGATTTTACAGCCTTAAAGCTCAGAGGTCGTTGTGAAATATACACTCCCATCACCAGGGTAGGTAAGTTCCAACGTGAAGTTAATCACAGGGCAGTTTGTCAGAGAAATGGGAATGTGAAGGGGAAGCCAGTAGGTCCTCACAAGTGACAGGTGACCTTCCACTGTCACCGAACACACTTACAGTCAACATGGCGAACATCAGCTGGCACACGTTGAAGGCGTGTCTCCAGTTGTGGTACAGAACCATTCGGTAATTCTTCCTTACTGTCAGAAGCCACCTACACAGTGTCTGAAATGGGAAGGGAAAGTTTACATTAGGCAGCTGCATGTGTCTCCAGTGGGCCATGATCAAAATGATACCTTATGTCTGAGGAACCCTCAACATTAAGGTCCTTCCACAAACATCTCACACGATTCCCACAGTAATCCCACCAGGTATGCAGGGAAAGTATGATCACCCCCGATTTATATTTGGGAAACCCAAGGCTCAAAGTGGCTACCACGTTGTTCTTGGGTGCACTCCTGGGATCCCCATGACCGAACATCTTACCTCATAGTCAATCTTGAATTTCTGTACCATCCCCAGCTCCATGAACATCCGAAGAGCAGCCGTGATCATAGCGTCAACGTCGAGAGAAAAGTCATCAAAGTGTATGTCGTCGATGGCAAGTTCTGACACCAGGGGGATGTTGGCTGCCTACAAAAGCACCAGATACAAGTCAAGCCAAGTTCACCAGCTTTTCCAAGCCCTTCATCCTTCTCTCCTCTCCTGCTTATCAGACATGCCACATAAATTAGACCTGACCTGCACTTACACTCTGATGCAGCTAAACTCTGAGCTAGAAATGTCTTTTGTTTCTGAACTGCTCATGCCCCAAGCAAACGAAGAGGAGGGGAGGGGAGAAGGGAGAGGGAAGCTAATCTGGAGAAAAAATATACACACTGGATCTAATCTGCTGAATTTAGAATACAAAGCTGTCTAGTTTACTGAAACTGCAGTCAGACAGTATATTCAGATGCATATTACAGAGCACCGAATGCAAAAAACATCCAGGCAGCCAGCAGCTGTGAATTTTAATTGCTGCTATTTGGGAGAAGGACAGGGGAATACACACTCTGCTGTCTTTCTTGCAGCCTTATATCCTGTCTCTGTGCGCTTGCTCTTTGTCACACATGCATTCTGTATATTCAGAAAGATGAAAGGGATTAGACAACACGTCTCTAGTGCAAAATGTATTTCTTCATAGGATAGGGATGTTTGGAGGGTTAATGAGGGCATATGTTTCACTGAAGGAATAAATTTGCAGTATAGTTTAGTGTCATTCTATAAAAGCATCACAACGTCATTATAATACTGGTCGTACGGATTCAGTGTTTTCAAAACACTCATGTTAGGCAGCTGTCAATCTGTTGCCCTACTCAAATTTAAAGGCAAGGAAACTTCTTTGGGAATGTTTTTCTTGTTTCTAGTTTCACTGGGTTTACCATATTCTTTGGGCCACGCTTGGTAAGGGAATCATTTCTATATTTTCGGATTATCAGGGACTATTCTGTATTCAGAGTCCTAGTCTATTCACTGGGTGTAAATTATCCAAGGAGTAATTTATGCTCTGGGACCACTTAGACTGGACAATAAAATTCAGTGCTCCTCCCTGTAAGCATCCCAGAAACCACTGAATCAACCCTTCCTCCCCAGCCCCATTCTCATCCGCAGAAACACACATCTCTAGGTTAAAATCCAAGCACTGGTTATTCACCACAACATGGAAGAACAATGAACAACTACATAGAGTCTCTCTGCCTGCTATTCTGCTGCTTAATTTTATTAAAAATTAATCAGCTTGGGGGCTTCTCTGGTGGCTCAGTGGTGGAGAGTCTGCCTGCCAATCTAGGAGACACAGGCTGGATCCCTGATCCAGGAGGATCCCACATGCCGTAGAGCAATTAAGTCCCTGAGCTGCAACTATTGGACCTGTGCTCTAGAGTCTGGGAACCACAACTGCTGAAGCATATGCACCCTAGAGCCCACGCTTTGCAACAAGGTAAGCCACTGCAACGAGAAGCCTGCCCACAACAGGGGAAAGCCTGCGCACAGCAAGGAAGACCCAGTATAGCCAAAAATGAATACACAAATACAGTTTAAAAGTAGTAGCTCAAAAAAATTAGTCGGCTTATCTTTCAGTGAATCACTTTACTATAGTAACATATTTGTAGAATCTAACTCCTTGGAATGACAAAGGTAACGTTTGTGAAATTCCAACATGGTGGTGATGGAAATGGTCTTTGTGTGGAGGTGTCCTTGTTTGGAGTTCCTGGACTCATGTTAAGCACTTTATTATCTGCTTGTGTGGTTTTTTTTTTTTTGCTTTAGAAATAATTTAAAATCAAAGTTATACATGCACATAGTTTTAAGAGTGAGTTAGATCTGCAAGGTTAGTGACACACACTAGCAGAATTCTTTGAGTGCCAAAACTTTCCCTTACTTCGAGGAAACCACTTTCAAATCATCTATCTATCTATCTATCTATCTATCTATCTATCTATCTCTCTCTCTCTCTCTCTCTCTCTCTATATATATATATATATATATATATATATATATATATTTGTATTTGGCTAAGGAAGGTGCTTGTGATTTTATTTTTAAATGATTTTCTGTTTTAAGCATTATCTATTAGCTTCCTCCCTGTTGAAGATGAAGATGAAGCTGTCTTATTCTGTATCTATCAACTTTTGCTACCTCATATACCATCCTTTTTCACTCCTCAGTATAATAATATAGTAACTTTTTTTGGAGAAATATTCAGGATTTATAGTGTAATGACTCTGTAAAAGAAATTCACAGCTAAGTCATGCAATTTACTATGATTACTTTTCCTTGATGGAATTTTGTATCCTCACAGTTAAGAACTGTCTTCTTTAATGTGAACTTAGTTTTCTCCACCCTGATCACTAATTCAACCTCTAAACTCTCCACTAATTATCTAAATCTCATCTGAAAATGTTCAGATGCTTTGGGTATTCCAACAGTTTTATGAAGAAATCTCCAATGGAACTTTCTGAACTATAATCGGGACTTGCAGTCTTCTCTGCCTCGTATATAGCTTTCATCCTAGACATTTCTTCACCATAATTATGGGGGTGTCTTCATCTCTCTTTTATTTCTATATCCCACATCTTTCTCTTTCCTGGCTCTCTTCTTATTTTGGTGAGACACATCTTATAATAGCTTCCCAAGAAAAGATGCATGTGCTAGGTAAATTTATGAGAGCTTGCATGTCTGGTATGTTTTCATATTATTGTCACACTTGATTGAAGGTTTGTCTGTATATCAGTTTCTAGGTTGGAAGTCATGCCAGTAGAATGTTGAGGGCATTCTCTTTTAGTTTTAGATCTACTCTGGAGAAGTCAGAAGCTATTGTGAACCCATTGCCTTTGGAAATGATTCCTTCTCCCTCTCTGTTTTTGTGGGATCTTCTTTTTGCTTCTAGAGTTCTGAAATGTCATGAAAAGGTGCCGAGGTGTGAGCTTATTTTCATTTATAACCCTAGGTACTCTGTGTGTCTTTTAATCTGGAAAACCATGAACTGCAATTCTAAAAAAAATGGAAAATGCACCCATCTGTTAGTTTTCTGGAATTCCCTTTATCTGAACTTTGGGCTGTTTTTTTCTTTTTTCCTTTCCCTCCTGTCCTGTATTTCATTTTATTTCTTTTTGCTCTTTTTAGGAAATATAACCTCTCCTTAATATTTTAATACTATAGCTTTCATTTCTAGGAGTTTTCTTTTTGTCTGGGTTTTTTTTAAATTATTTTTTAATAGCACCTTAATTTTGTTTCATGGATACAATATCTTCTCTTACCACTCTGAGGATGTCAATAATTCTACTTGACATTTTCTTCTCCCTTCAGAGTTTATGTCACTCTCTTCATTTTGTTTTAGCCTCTCTCTTTTTTTATTGTGGTTAAAAAAAAAAAACATACATTGTTGTTGTTTGATCCCCAAGTCCTGTCTGATTCTTTGTGACCCTATGGACTGTAGCCTGCCAGGCTCCTCTGTCCATGGAATTTCCCAGGCAGGAACACTGGAGTGAATTGCCATTCCCTTCTCCAGGGGATCTTCCTGACCCAGGGATAGAACCTGTGTCTCTTATGTCTCTTGCATTGGCAGGAGAATTCTTTACCATCAAGCCACTGGAGCTTCCCTTAAAAAAATATGGCATAAATTTATCCTCTAAAATTTTTAAAAGTGCACAGTATTATTTACTATATTTACATTATTGTACAACAGATGTCTAGAACTTTTTCATCTTGCAAGACTGAAACTGTACTCAATAAACAACTTTCCATCCACCACTGCCCCCCCATGCCCCAGGGAACAATCATTCTTATTTCTCTCTCTGAGTTTGACTTCTTTAGATACCTCAGATATGGTATCATGCAATACTTATCCTTTTCTGATTGGCTTACTTCACTCAGCAAAATGTCTTCAGGGGTCATCCACAAGGTACCATAGAAAAGTATTTCCTTCTTTTTTAAAGCTGAATAATATTCCATTCTAGGTATTCAGCACAATGGTAAATACATTCTTAATCCACTCATGGTTGATAGTTTAGTCTCTCAGTCAGTTTATCCTTCCTTAAATCATTTTAACATAGTCAAGTCTTTAGAGGTAATAGAGATTTTGCCCAGCTGTGTGGTGATCTTCGGTTTTCTGTCCCTGTTTAAAAGCAGAGCCCTGAGAGCTCCTTCTATCAGAGCTTCTGGGGGCTTCTCTGGACAGGGATCTGACTGACCCCTTTCCTTGGGAAAGCCATCAAATGTCTGTATCTTTGGGTCTTTGCACTTTAGCTACTCAGCTTCCCCAGAGAAGAATCTTCTGGTATTACAGGAACAGGAATTGGAGAAGAAACTCAGCACTGGTCTATAACTTCATTCAATCCTCCTGTTTTCAGCCTGTATTCCTACCCTCAAGCTCTGCACTTGTTTAACCCCATCCCAGAGACCTGCTGTTATACCCTCTTCAGAGGATAAGCCTTTAGTTGTTATAGAGTGGAGGGTGGGATAAAGAATCTGGAGGTCAAACTGCTTCTTAGATTCTGTTTCTTGTTTGTAGCCTTCCCTTCATATCTATTTCCAAAGGTACTCACTTAGCCAGTTCCTGAGCTGTTTGATGGGGAGGGGTCTGTGGTATAAACCTGTTTACCTTTCAGCTTTTCCCACTGATAGTTTATTTTGTCTTTCTTGGGTTTGCAGAATTACTTAGTATTTATCCATCTCTTTTCTAGCTTCAAAAGTTTATCATTGTTAAGTCCTTGCCCAATTTCTATATCTTTGAGAATATATGCCCTTAAAAATGTCCTTTTGTTGTTATTGTAGTTGGGCTTGAACAAAAGAAAATGAGTGTATTCACTCTACCATCTTTATCTAGTAATCACTGAAATGATCTTTATTAAATAGTGCCTTAATGGTCAGCTTGGAGAGCTCACAGGTAAGCCAGCCTTTGGACGAAGTCCCTTTGTACCTATGTGCACGAGGCTGGCTGCAACCATGTAGACCTCTCTCTCTGCTTCTGTGCCCTGGCATGTTCACTTGTGTCATCCTGACCTCACTCACTAGGCTGTAATGATCTCAGAGGCAGATGGCATGTTTCTTTCCCTTAGAGAAGCTCCAGAATGACGGTCTACTTCCATCACACA